TCACGAATGCTCCGATCGCCAATATAATGATAATCTGGGCGAAATGCTTGGAGGACAACGAGATGCGAGGATTCATCGTAGAGAGGAAGGAGAACGACAATCGACTGATCACCCCTATGATCAAGGGTAAATTCTCTCTGAGGTGTTCCATCACAGGTATGATCCTCATGGACGACTTGGAGGTGCCGGAGGAGAATATGCTCCCAAACGTGAAAGGTCTCAAAGTAAGTTTTCGAAAGTTTTCGGTGTAACGTGGAGCCCTCACCCTTGAAGAAATGCTCGTACAGGGACCGTTCGTCTGTCTGAACAACGCCAGATACGGAATCGCTTGGGGCGCTTTGGGTGCAGCCGAGGCCTGTTTACACATATCCAGAGCGTACTGTCTGCACAGGAAACAGTTCAAAAGGCCACTGGCCGCTAATCAATTGATACAGAAGAAGCTGGTCGAAATGATGTGCGACATTTCGTTTGGCCTTCAAGCTTGTCTAAGGGTGGGCAGGCTGAAGGACGAGGACAAGTAAGGCTTAACATTTTGAATTAGAAAATCGATATAGAATAAGAGGATGAACATTTGTATATGTTTTATAAAATTTTTCAGAGCCACCCCAGAGATGATCTCGATGATAAAGAAGAATTCTGCCATGAAAGCATTGGAAATCGCTAGGAACGCTAGGGATATGTTGGGTGGTAATGGAATATCCGATGAGTATCATGTTATCAGGCACATGATGAATCTGGAAAGTGTTATCACCTATGAAGGTACGTAAAAAAAAAAAAAAAAAAAGAAAAGTATTTTCGATCGTGATAATTATAATAATTATAATTAGTATCGGGAAAATGAATGAAACGAGATTTTTCTTCAATATTATTTGTCACAGGTACGGATAATATCCACACTTTGATACTCGGCAGAGCGATTACCGGCCTGTCGGCCTTCGGTAAAGAAATGTAAAGAGATTGTTCATCGTACAATTATATTATATATCTATTTTTATACGAACTTATTTTATATGTAGATTGTACATTTATATATAGTTTTGATAAATCGAATTGAAAAAAAAAGAAAAAATTAGTATATATATATATAAAGAAGGATGATTATAAATAAAATAAGAACAAAGTGTTTTTGAATTTAGTAAGAAAAAAAAAAAAAAAAAAAAAAAGAATTAAAAAAAAAAA